CTCTCAAACCAACGTTCCTCTCTATCAAGAATGAGAACATCCTCATCTCTGAAAGAGTGATTGTAAATGAGTGAAAACTGCAGAGTTCTGGCCATTAGATGTAGCTCGTCTGTGTTGGGACATTCTTTTGAACAGTGGCTGCTTTGTTTCCCCGATGTATAACTGGTCGCAGTCCTCCTGGCACTTAACAGCATATACAACATTGCTCTGTTTGTGCCGGGGCACCGGATCTTTGGAAGAGAAAACGTTCTCCTCTGAGTCAACCCACAAACAGGAAACTACACCTGAAGGCTGTGAGCGATCATAGAAACAGACCGTACTGAACAGCTGAACACTGCTCTGTTCTACAAAACCAAACCATTAAACACTTGTTGCCTTTGTTTCACGGTCATGACTCAGCACGGCTTCTGTCGAGTCATGCCAGGTGCTTCCAGCTTCGTTCATACAACTCAATTGAGGTTCAATATGAGCTGAGTTAAGCTGAAGATTTAGCATCAATCAAAAGAACCTGTGGTGGGCATTGTTTCGCTAATCAGCTAACAGCTAATAGCAGAAGTAATTTTTTATTTGCTGGATTAGCTTTTGCAGAAACTTCGAAAACTGTTAGTGGACCAGTTAGCTTTCGCTAAATTAGACTTTGTCAACTTTAAGCTCGCTAACAGCCAACTAACAAGCTAACATCAGCAAGTTTGTGTCAGTCCCACCAGTCTTCAGCTTTAAGGAGACGAAGATGTGTGATGCAGAAATAGACAGCTGTATTAGTAGTTAGTGATTAGCTGTTAGCATTAACATTCACTAATTTGTACTTGTTTAGCGTTAACATCTGAAAATATTTTTATGTGTTTAGCTGTTTAGCATAATTTTTTCTTGTTTAGCTGTTTAGCATTAAAGTCTGCAAATATTTCTATGTAGCTGTTTAGCGTTAGCATATGCAAATATCGCTATGTGTATACTGTAGCTATTTTGAGTTAGCAAATATTTCTACATGTTTAGCTTTTTAGCATTAACTTCCACTAATTTTTGTGTTTAGCTGATTAGTGTTAACGTCTGCTAATATTGGTCTGTGTATAGCTGTTTAGCTTTGGCTTCCACGGATTTGTAATTATTTAGCTTTTTAGCATTAGGTCTGCAAATATTTTTACTTGCTTAGCTGTTTAGCATTAGTTTTCACTAATTTTGCTACATAAAAGGACCCACATAGTAAAACCTGACCCACACAAGGCACACACACTAATGCCGTGAAGAATGATGGCCCTGTGGTGGGCCTGATGTGGTTTGCCACAGGTGGTCCATACATGGGCCAGCACCACATCAACATCTTATTGTTCCATACTTTCCTAACAGAGCACTTCGCTCTCAGACTGCAGGTTTACTTGTGGTTCCTCGAGTTTCTAAAAGTAGAATGGGAGGCAGAGCTTTCAGTTATCAAGCTCCTCTCTTGTGGAACCAACTTCCAGTTTCTGTCCATGAGGCTGACACTCTGTCTACTTTTAAGATTAGACTGAAGACTTTCCTTTTTGATAAATCCTATAGTTAGACTTAAGTTTCCTGAATTATTCTTCATTTCTGCTGCTATAGACTTAGACTGCTGGAGCACAAACTGAGCACATTTCCTCACTCTGCTGTTGTCTTTAGTCTCTCTTCTCTACATGTTTATTGTTATTATTTCTATCATGTTTTTTCTTTATCTCTTCCAGAAGAAGGTGCTCCTGGACCAGTCCTGGACCAGTTCTTCTGTGTTTGTCTGTGTCTCTTTCCTGTCCTCCAACCAGCCGGTCGAGGCAGATGGTCTCCTGTCCTGAGCCTGGTTCTGCTGGAGGTTTCTTCCTGATTAGCAGGGAGTTTTTCCTCTCCACCGTTTGCTCAGGATGGGAGACTGTGATGAAGTGATTCAACACAATCTGCTGCTTTCTTCTTTACTTTGTTCTTTTTTCATGTACAGTGACCTGAGATAAGGTATGTTGTGACTTGGCGCTATATAAATAAACTGAATTAAACCAAACCATCGTACGAACAGTGCCACATTGCCAGATCTGACCCACACCTGTCTGCTGTATCACGTTGGGTCTGTTGAATCCAGCTGTAGCACCAACACTAAATGGTTAATGGACTGTACTTATATAGCGCCTTTTTATCCATCCAGGACACTCAAAGGGCTTCACACTACAGACATTCACACATCACACTGATGATGGCAAACCACAATTGTAGCCACAGCTGCCCTGGGGCGCACTGACAGAGGCGAGGCTTACATACACAGGCGCCACCGGACCCTCTGACCACCATCAGTAGGCAAGGCGGGTAAGGTGTTTTGCCCAAGGACACAACGACTGAGTCGACTGGACGGGGATTGAACCGGCGACCTTCCGGTTCCGGGACGACTCCCCTAACCACTTTCCCACAGCCGCTCCACTAAACCATAAAACTCTCAGATCTTCATTATTTCACGTCACTGTTTTATTTTTTTGTGTGTCACTTCATTAGAAAATGAAACCAAATATTAGTTTATTTAGTTGATCTATTTCTTCATCATCAGTGACCTTTTTTAAGTGAAGAGAAAATAGAGACAGAGAGAAAAACAGAGAGAGAAGTAATCAGAAAGATAGAAAGACCAAAACAGCGACTAGAAGTATACCAAACATACACCAACAAAACACAGGACCACACACCCAACATCTGTCCGCTTACCTGAAAAATAAATGGATAAATACATGGAGGGCATATATAAAAATACACACATACCCATACATATATAAAGATATACATACATACATGCCTACATTCATAAATATTGTCAGTATATACACACAGACACATATACACACTCAGTGTCCAGTCAGAACCCCCCGGATCAGAACACCTGTTTGTGAGCAGTTGTGAACATGCGTGTATATACAAGATTTCTCCAGTGGAATATTTAATAGTGACTGTGGAGGACCGAGACCCAACCCCCAAGACACGAGGCAGACAGAGGGAAGACCAGAGCCCAAGGGCCCGAGAGGGATCCTGAGCGCAGAGCCCCAAGGGGCACCCGCACGGGAAGATCCGCCCACCCACCCCCCAGATCAGACCATAGGGGAGAACTGGGAGAGTCCCCCCAGCGACCACACKCACAGCCCCCGGGGCCAGCAGCGACTAACTCATGGGCCCCACCGGCACCCGCCATACCAGAGCAGATCCAGGAAAGGGCACAGAGGTCCGGGCCCCCAGGGCGCACCCCCTCCAGGCCAAAGCCCGACAGGTCCAGAGGCCCCGAGCCCCAGCACGCAGTCACCAGGCCAGGCCGGCACACACCCCAGCACCCAGCCCCAGACCCCGGGAACCCCCAGCACGCCGGCGGCCAGCCGCACACCCCACCGGGGGGCCAAGTAGCAGGGGGCCCCCAGATAAACCAGCAGTAGCACGTCACTGTTTTCTTACTTATTAATGAGGACGATATCAGGGAGCCACACTTTAGCAGAGGGGACCCTCAACACTTGGATTCCGTCGTACTGCTTGGGTTTCCACATCAGCCGATAATCCGTCCACTCCTGAAGGAAGAGTTCAACGTGTGAACATGTGACGACACACAGGGGAACAGAACCAAGCAGAAACTCTGCTTATTCAGTACAAATAAAAACAATTTGTCATTTCATCATTTTCTTATTCTTTTGCCACATCTTTAATTAGAGCCCTCAGGGATGATTTTCCTTTACATTTGCATAAAAATAACAGGATTTGCATAAGTTGTCGTTCTGCCCGGTGCAACTGTGGCTCATCACCGAGCCTTCTGGATTTAATCAGTTTAAATAACTGTGGTCAAACTTAAAACCTTCAGTTTGAAAAGTAAAGAAAAAAAACTATAAACTTACCAGATTCATGACAACAATTGTGCTCATTTCTTCATTTTTCATGTTCTGAGAGAAAATGGAAATAAATTGTTAGTTGATGCGGTTGGTTGTTGAAGTATTCACCTTCCTTCTTTGGATTAATGAAATTACACAACTTGTTTTTAATTATTCTGAAAAATAAATCAAAAATAGACATGATTTGCTCAGATGCTGTCTCTTACAGATTTAAAAATATTACGTCTCCACAAGCTTCCCAGTCCCGGCTGGTATAAAACATCCCCACATTATGACGCCAACACCACCGTGCTTCACAGTGGCGATGATGTTCTCAGGACAATAAGACGTCTTTAACGTCATCTTTAATTGTAAAATAACTAAGTCTTAGTCTCATATGGCTGCAATAGTTTTTGCCGCTCTTAAATTAGTAAAAATCTCTCGCATTAATAAAAAATATTAATGAACACTAAAATTTATTTCAAACTTCAAACAGTTTGTTTTATAGATATTTTTATTGTTCGTTTGCTGAACAGTAAATGTTACAAATAAAATAAATCAGGCGGTTCCAAAAAGAATAAGTGTATAATCTCACTGACTCACAGCGTAGCATTGTGGGATTGTGACATGTTCATGCTGGGAAGCAGGAGGACCGAGCTGCTATTTAAAACACAAAGAGGAATGTGAGGCAGCTGCAGAGGTGTTGTTGTTTGTTTATGTGTGTGTGTGTGTGTGTGTGTACTTGTTTCTCCTACAGAGTGAGGACCAACATGCTTTTAACCAAAGTTTGTCATTCAGCTGTAACCAGCATTCAGACTATATTAATATTAGTTTTAAAGATGGAGACGACACGTTGGAGGATCCACGCGTGGCCGACCTTCAGTCGTCACAGTTTCCCACGAACTTTTGCAAAATTCATCCCCAGATGCAGGCGGCCATTTTAAATGGAATACCAATAAATTATCGAGCAATAAGAGAGCAGCAGATTAATGGTGACCAGCCCTCTCAGATGAGCCTTGAAATATGTCTTCATATAATTACTTTACTCAGCATCTAAACTAAACCGACTATAACATTTTATTTGAATGGTTTAACTAAAATTACAAGGAACTGTAGCCTGACGATCAGAGATGGGACATGTTTGCTCACCAGTCCAACGAAGGAGGAGAGGATCATCCCCACCCGGACCACCACCCTGTCTTCTGTGCTGCGAGCCGGTCGGACCTTCAGGTCGTATCCAGTGAAGATGGTCTTCATCAGTTGCTGCTCCTGATCTACAGCTTCTGGATGACACAAAGTGAAAAACCAGACACTTTATTGATCCTTGTTGCAAGAAAAGCTCATTCTTTTCATTTGACTAAATGTTTATGAAATACGGCAAAAACATTAGGAAGCGTCGTCTTAAACGAACGATCTGTCAGAGACACAGAGGTTTACTGTAACAAAATAAATATGTAATAAACAAAGAATGAAATACTAGGAAACATTTGCACACGACAAAGAGAACAAATGATAAAACTGAGTCTGGCAACAGAGGGAAAATGAAGTTGTATGAACAACTTAGCTCAGGTTTTCCCTTAGCATTATGCAAGGGGGCACGTCACCCCCCATTCAGAACTGTTGGCCACTCCAACAGAGCTGCTTGCCCCTTTAACAGAACTGCCCACCCCTTTAACAGAACTGCCCACCCCTTTAACAAAACTGCTTGCCCCTTTAACAGAACTGCCCACCCCTTTAACAGAACTGCCCACCCCTTTAACAAAACTGCTTGCCCCTTTAACAAAACTGCTTGCCCCTTTAACAGAACTGCCCACCCCTTTAACAAAACTGCTTGCCCCTTTAACAAAACTGCTTGCCCCTTTAACAAAACTGCTTGCCCCTTTAACAGAATTGCCTGCCCTTTAACAAAACTGCCTGCCCCTTTAACAGAACTGCTTGCCCCTTTAACAAAACTGCTTGCCCCTTTAACAGAATTGCCTGCCCTTTAACAAAACTGCTTGCCCCTTTAACAGAATTGCCTGCCCTTTAACAAAACTGCCTGCCCCTTTAACAAAACTGCTTGCCCCTTTAACAGAACTGCCCACCCCTTTAACAAAACTGCTTGCCCCTTTAACAGAACTGCCCACCCCTTTAACAGAACTGCCTGCCAAAACCTATAAACTACCTATTTCCTTGTGAAACGTCCTCACATGTTCAGAAAGCAACAGAAAGTCCTGTAAATATTCCTGCTGCCTGCAGATCTCCAAGCTGTTTCTGACAAATTAAAACACCCTGAAAAATGAGAATTCCGTCTAAACCAAAGAATCTGCAGCTGTTTTTCAGTGGCGGTGACAGCTGTAATCACCTCTTTGGAGGTCTTTGAAGATTTCTTCTATTAAAATAAAAATACTTGCTCTTTGTTGTATTTTAAACCTGGCTGTTTAACTGGCGACAAATTCCCTCCTTGGTCTCAGAAGGTTAAAAGCATTTATAATCATGGGTGAAGCTGCATCCATCACATCTGGCGTTGCTGTGGCTGCAGCAGGATGTGACCTGACGGGAATAAATGACAACAATTGCACAGCGAGGCACCCCCATTAGCAAAACACAGAAAGCAGGGCTGCTGATTGGCCAGACAGAAGGTGGTTGTAAAGACAAAAAGTTAGCGCTTTTTGTCGCCTCGCTGCTCAGATGACCGGCTTGATAGAAGCACAGAGAGCTAAAGTTGACGTAAATTGAAAATATCAGGCGATCGACTGAAACGAGCCCAGGCATCGAGTATTTTTCTCTCTCCATATTTCTCCGGAGAAGACGCAAGCTTTAATGGCCTTTCACCTCTCGTTAGCTCACCGAGCTCAAGTGAGCGCAGAGAGAGAGGCCATGAAAATTATTCCAAAATCGACACTGGCAGCAATAAAGTTCGATACACAGCGACATCGCTGTGAGAGCCAGAGCTCAGTCATCAAATCAACTGTCTGCAGTCAAGAAAGCCATTGATTTCTGTAAATAAAAGGACAACACTCAGCCGGCAGTGATTCTGCATGGCTTCAGTCTCTCTGGAGATACTAAGTTACAGGCATCGACAAACTACTGTCACAGCACTTAATAAAGAAACCAACAATAAAACTGTATTTCTGAGCTATTTCACTGAAACTTGACCCTTTATATCAACCTAATGTCTTTATATCCTGTACAATTTTAAATTTTTAAATGCAGTGGAAATCTATTGATATTCATAGTCTAAACATAGTTTTTAACTTATCAAGTAAGGTATTTATTATCTTAATTATAAATGTAATGTGATTACTGTAGCAGTTAACACATTTTAAGCATTGCAGCTTTTGTTATACTAAATCCAAATGTTAACAAGCTAAACAAACTCAATAAGTCAGAGTTATAGTTATATTACAACCATTGAAACAACTAAGAAACTTAAATATATGATGTCATAAAACAAAGCTCTTTAGATGTAATTAAGTACTTATGCTATGATAAATGCAAATGCTAACACATGCAAAACAAACATACCAACATGTCAGAGTGAGTAAATGCTATTTTTAACAGAAATTTAAATACATTAGGCTACAATAATCTTTTTATTTGAATTTTGTATCCAGATAAGTCACAAACGTTATAGCTTTATGCTATGCTAAATACAAATGCTAACATGCTAATAAATGAAGAGTTAGCAGGTAAACGCTAATTTTAAAAATAATTATATGCTGAACGCAATCATCAAGCTAAATAAACCAATGTGTTTAATAAAGTACATGCCATCAGATCACAACCGTTAAAGCAACTTAAAAGACACTTTTAAATATGTGATATATTTGTCATAAATCAAAGCATTATAATATTATTTACACTATGATGAATGCAAATGCTAACATGCAAAACAAACATATTGGCACATCAGTTAATAAAC